AAAAAAAAAAAAAAAAAAAGGAAAAGAATGCTTGCCGAGTGCCTTTTTGTTTTTATTACAAATGGTAAGTTCTGGAAAAAAACAACTGCGCTGTCATACAATCACCAAAAGTAAGGAACAAAAAAAAACTTAGATTGTTTGCTTTCAAGTGTCAAGGCACTAACGAGTTAGTGCACTGAACTGTGGGAGGATTTTCAGGATTTTACAGGACAACTCTGCAAGATCAGAGCACAGGAATATATGACTTAGGCCTCACGCAGAAGCCAAACATCTAACAGCAAACATCACACACACCAAAGCAACCATCATATATATACACACACACACGCACGCACGCAAGCGCGCGCACGCACACACGCACGCAGCTCTTTATGTTACAGCACCTCGCACAAGCATGACGATGAAGATGACGACGCTTTGCACCAGTGTGAAACATCCAGAGAAAGCCATCTCAACTGCAGACTGGGGTTCTACCTGCTGTAAATCAGTGAACAGATTCATGATACCGGCGGTGATGTGGGCGATATCTTAATCCATGAAATATCAAAGGAGGAAGCATAATACTTTCTGCATTTCATAAAGCCTATAAATAGAAGAAAAACACACCCAAAAAGTAAAAAGACGAGGCTATTCACAAGAAGCAAAAGTGAGTATAAATGTACTGGATGGATCGCCTATACAATATTACAAACCACGCAGGCTCTAAGTACATTCATTGATATTATTTGGAGATAGGAAAATAGGATCTACTCTACAAGAGGTTTTCTTTATATCAGCAATAGTTTCTTTCTCTACAAGAGACGGATGAGAGGCAGAGAGGAGGAACGTTATTTTACAGAGGGGAAAAAAAAAAAGAAAGATTTGTATGAGTTGTTGCTTTTTTCTTAAAAACGAGCTGTACTTTATTCTAAAAGTAACAAAAGTAAACAGGCTGATCGTTACAACTTGGAGGACATTTATCCCAGGCCTTTTCAACTGGATATTTAAATATAGAGATACATGACAAAAAAAACAAAAAAAAAAGACGTGGATTATTAATTCCATCAGCTTCTGATATGACTTTTTGTTAACAAGCCAGCTGTTTCTAGAACCTGCTCCTGCTCACCGCTTCAAAAGACACGGAGGGGGGGGGACAAAAGCCAAACTGAGGTGAAGAATCGGAAATTATGTGAGACAATATATCCTGTCGTATCATTACCTGTGCAGGTGTTTTGAGTTCCTAACTAAGCACCTCGGGCACCATTAAACTGAAAGTAGCTCCACATTCATCCAGGCTGGTGTTTTTATTTTTTTTATAATGTTCCATACACATTCTCCACTCGGCTCGTGATCAAGCAGATTTCTGGATATTGATATGTAAAGTCTGGTGGTGTCTCACACACAACCTTTCGTTCATCATTATTTACCGTATACATAATATATGTATAAATCCCCACAGAGAACCTAATGTCTGTAGTTAATGGTCTCTGTCTGACACCTGTCAGTTTGTGTCACATAAAAAGCACCCTTATGTCTCGCTTCACTGTACAAAAAGGCAACCCTCATCCACAAGTTTCTCTCTTTTGTTTACATTTTTTTTTAAAGGCAGAAGAGTATTTCTCAAAGACGACACACGCTGATACACAAAGTCAATTCTTGTTTAGTGCAAAAACAACAAATGTTTGAGATTTTTTTTTTTTTTCCGGGGGGGGGGGGGAGGGAAGCAATTCCATTCTCATCTGCTATGTTAAGGTGCTGGTTCAGGTCATTTAAACACAAACAAGAAGCAGTAACTACAAGTAAGAAGCCATGTCCTCACACCATAATGAATTTCAGCATGCTATTATTGAGGACACTTGTTCACTTTCCTGACACGATATGACAAGTGTTTTCTGGTGAGTATCACATTTCTGAACACAGACCCCACACCAGTCTCCATCAAACTAGAGAACAAGACTCTCCTCATCCAGTCAAACTTCAATACAAATATTTCAACGCATGATCGCACAGTTAAGAGTTATGTATGAACATATTTGATGTGGAATTCAATATGCACTTTATAAATTGTCTATATAATATTTCCAACTTAAAGGCGACTTACAATTCCATCAAATCCAGGACATGCACCCATGAGACCCGATGAAGGCTCTGCATTCATTGTTTTAAAAAAACAAAAAATAAAAACTGCTCGGGCGTTTAAATCAAAGTCGGCCGTTCCACTGGTGCATAGAATTAAAAAACGGAAAGAAAGGAGGGAAAGCTGAGTGTGAATACAAACACTCGTCAAAGAATTTGGTCGTGCAGCTCAACGCTCAAAAAAAAAAAAAAAAAAAAAACCCTTACAGGAAATAGAAGACACATTCTCTCTTTTCATTTTGAATAAAAACTATGGAGAAAACAAAAAAACAAAAAAAAGATTACACAACTCCATAAAGTGAGAAAGCGTGTACAGCATCATGCACACAAAGCGTTTCAAACCTCTACTGTCAATGCAAGACTCCGGAAAAAATGCCAATTAGATTAGATAGCAGGGGTAATTATGCAGAAATGGCCAGCAGTGTGATGTTACCATAACACTTAAACAGGTAACAAGAGGTAGAACACACAGCCATTTCCAGACAATTACACCGGTGTCACGCGATATGGCCGAGCCTCCTGCAGCGATCACGTCTGTAGAAGTCACACTGACACTCTGCTATCAAAAGTGCATCTAAATTTACATGTTGTGAGACCAGCACCGGTAAGAACAATATTGACATCATAACAGTAAATATCAAGTACATGATTTCTTTCTCTTGTTTTTTTTTTAGAATGCCCCACAAACACAGTCAGTCGGATCTCTAGTTGCTTTACAGGTAAAAATGAGTAAAAAGGATGACACACAGAGGTCGTCAGAGGGAGAGGAAAGATCTTCGACATAATGAAGCATCTTTCGGTTTCTGTTATAACGTACATGTACAGAGCCTTGTCGACTAGTCCAGTGAGGATTTAAGGTGGTTTACAGTGAAAACTTCTAGCACCTAGAATCAAGACGTTCCTTTTTTTGTTTTTGTTTTTGTGCTTACGTCGTGTCTTTGTGAATATTAAATCATGTAAAAGTTTGTAATCTTGTTTGGCTAAGAAAGATTGCGTGTTACAAAGGATACACCCAACTTTTCAGGCTATAAAATCGACAGCGTTACAAATGACCACATATATACTTCACCCCCCCTTTTTAAGAAAAAAGGCATGAAGATGCTGAAAAGCACTAAGAAAACGCTACTAAATGCAACATGCTAAAAAAGAGAGGGGGGTGGGGGTAGGGGGAAACAACCAAGAAGAAAAGAGAATAAAAGCCCTGATTATCTACCTCTAGAAATGACCCAAATTCATGTGAGAGACCCCCACTGAGAAATCTCTTGGTTAAAAATGATGCATAGTTAGAAAGTGTAGACTACTTGCCTCCAATCAAGACTATGTGTTAACTTAGTTTTCAAACTCAGGTGGGATGTTAGGAACTGTCTAGAATCATTAGTAAGACAGTCTTAGAAGGCAAGAGAGTATTTGCATTTAAAATCTGTATAGAAATAGACAGAGTGAATTTAGACTACATGTGGGCCGGTCATTAAAAAAAGAAAATCTCTATTCCATTTTCAGCAGCCTCCGCTGAAAGCTTATTCAAAATATACCTCATCACCAACATGACTCTAAAGTAGAAAGACTCACAAAAAGTCATTTGCATAAAACCCAAGCTTTTGTGCGACATTTGCTCCCGCTTCATAGAGCGAAAACTTTTTTTTTTTCTTTTTTCTTTTTTTTTAAGGGACTCTGATCAGTTTAACTTGTTGCAGCTTTCACTCCACTGTACCGAACGCCTGGATATCAAGCGCCACACAAATATCACGCTCTTGACGGAAACACGGCAGAAAACAAAAACACTATACTGCGGCTATTTACAATAAAAACATGAAAGAAAAGGGTTAACGTGTAGAAAAGGAGGAAATCAAACAAATATCACAAAAAGTCTAAAAAGAGGAGTCAGCTACATGCATATTCGTAACAAAAAAAAAGAGAAGACAAATTGAAATTAAATTAGACTACAAAAACAAAAGGGGGAGAAAAGGATTTCATCAAGTCCCCCTCTATGTTGATTTCTATGTCATGTGTCTTTTTATCAACACGGCTCAGAGTACATTAGAAAGGTGTCCTTGCTGGGAACCAGTCCCAATACACTTTCTCTTTCAGATCAGACGTTCAGGAGAGGCAGAGAAGGGTCAAAATGCTGTGTTTGAACCTCTAGAATAAACTAAGGGTCTGTTCAAGGGCTGTTAACAAATCTGATGCAAAGAACTCTTTTCTGTATGTTATCACCAGATTTGGCATATTATGGTACTCTGTGTCAATCAGGGATAAATACTGAAAAACCCCTATCACATGTGGGCCTAATAGTTCATCGCCTTCACATAGAAATGACAACAAAAAGGTGGTCTCAAATGGCACTTTTCATCACACAGTGCCCAATGTGAAAGAGTCACACACAACCCTCAACATGTTAAGTACTTAAGTCCTGATTGAAGTACCTTCTGGTCAGTGCACTTTGCTTTGATTGGCTGATAATGTTTGTCAGGAGGAAATCAATAGGCATAGAAACAGAAAACAGCCCCCCCCGCCCTTCCTTTTTTTTTTGACAATATTTGTTCCTTCTCCCTTCAAGCACTGAGGCCCAAAACACAAGAGACAGGAGAAGGAGGGTGAACCTATGAGTAATAAAAATTACCCTGATGTACAATGACACTGTCCACTAGTTTAGAAAGTATTTCTTCTGTTAGTGTACATACTTTTGCTTCAATACTTTTGCAACATATTTCCCCAACAAATAAAAAAAAAAACACACACACACTAATGCGCAACTTTTGAATGATACCTCTTCCTGCTCGAAGCCCAGAAAGAGGGATTACTTTGCATCTTACAGTCTAACAGCTGGCTTTTGTTTGGGTGGGTCGGGAGGGGTGGGTGGGGGGGGGGCTGATGTACAATTGTAGACACATGGTCAACTGATAGGTCTCTCATGTAGGGAGATCACCACTGTGGCGCTATCTACAGCTGACGGTGAGACAGCGAGGGGGTAGTGTGTAACATCAGTGGGGTCTCACCCACGCCGACCTCCGGGGTTTTTGCGGTCTCAGGCAAAGTACATGGTGCGCAGGGTGTCCTGGTGGATCTGAACGGCCTTTGCCAAAGCCTGTTGGTCCCGCCCGTTGCTCTGGCCTGATGTGTGGCTGCCCTCGGCGCTGCAACACAAACATTAAAAAGTTAGGGAACTGTCGAGGGCTTCACGAGTGTTTAATGATGTTTGACTAACAAGAACTCATACCATGAAGAAAAAACAGTTTTAAAAAGGCTCTTAGTCCTAACCTGTCATGTTCTTTGTCCACCAAGTGATAGCGAGCCCTGAAAGCCACCAAATGGGCGTAGTAAGCTGGTGCTGGGATGGAGACTGACCGGGTGCAGCGCACATAAGTGTGGCAGAGCTGGTATGTGAGGACCTGCAGTTCATCTGACGTGAAGTGGTTGTCGTCCCAGAGCACGTGATAATGAGACGGCCGGCTGGTACCCTGCGAGAAAGTGAGAGTCGATTTTGAGTCGAGTGGATAAAAAAAAAACATCTTGCAGAGTCAACCTTTTTTTTTTGTTGTTGTGCTTTCTTCTTCATGGCTACTTGCCACACGTGTTCTTCATTCAGTTCTTACCTGAATTCCAGCGTGACTGCAAAGGTAGAAGTCAAACTCTGATGGATGAGTGATTTTGGTGTCCACCGTGGTGCCTGCAGGAATGTTGCCACTTTTCCCAACCTTCAAAATGTAAAACACAAACACTATGGATTCTATTCCATTAACAGATATGTTGTACAGAAATTGTGTAAGAGTTAAGTATTGTAATTAGCTACATTTTAAATCACATCCGTTACTGAGTAAAAAAATAAGCCTGCTATGAATGATTTTCCCTCATCGCACCGGAGCGACGAGAGACAGAGACCCTTTTCTTGGCTCGGTGCCAACCTCGGTGCACCTCCACTACAGCGGGTCTACCTGCTGAAGGTGTTTATAAACTGATGTCTCATTGTTTTAAATCCAAGATGATTAAAATAAGTTGGCTGTGGTTCTTACTCTTGGACAAAGAAGTGGCTGAGGATGCTTTTTTTCACTGCAGCGTTCGCGACTACATTCGCCGCTGCAGCTCCGAGCAATAAACACATTTAGTTCCGGAAAGTTTTTCACAATAAAAGTCCCTAATTGCCATCTATGCGATGTGCTTTTATTTTGAAGCAGACATGTGAGGAAGTTGGGTGTTATAAGCTGCTGCAATTTAACACATCTCAGATGTGTGAAAATAAATACTTCAAACCAAACAGATTCAGTTAGAAGCTTCAGTAGCTAAGAGGTAAACAAACAGAGACTAAAACATCTAACATAATCTCATACAGGCTCATTTTAGAACAATAAATGGATTATCTTTCATCTCAGGTTTAGTTGCAGCTAAATCAGCCTTTGAGGCTGTCTTTGAGACTAACCAGCCTTAAAATAATAAAACTAAAAACACTAAAATACTCTTTATGATTGAGACAAAGACCCTTTTCGCAATTAAATAGAAATCAAGTATATCCTCTGAAAATACCTCTGTGAGTCATGACTGTCTACAATGGGTGTAACACCCGAGTCCCGCTGTCTGTGATGCTTTCCGGGTTTTCTGAGTCATATCTTCACTTTGTTTACATCACCAGGATGGCCGGCTGACTCATCCCCTCGTGTATAAAAGTTGTTTAATTGAAGGACTAGAAAAAAGAAGAGTAACATACTGTACTCACTGCTTAACTGTGTTTCTAGATCACGCTCATTTCGAGTTCATTTACATGCAGTGTGAAGATACGAGCATAATAAAGATCGCTAGCATTAGCATGCTAACACAACAATGCAGTGCGAGTTGTTTTGGTTTGATGCTGATGCTCAAGGGCAAAAAAAAAAATCCCATCTAAAGCCTTTAAACATTTCCCTTCATAAAACAGCTGATTACTTGAACATATAATCCTTGAATATTTATTCATCATTATGTATATTTTGTTTTTGTCAATGGGGTAGAAAAGAAAATGTTTATCTGAAAAGATAAATCTTTGGAAAGATTGGCCTTTAATTTAAAAAACTTTGAGATTAATATCCCCTCGTCCTTTTTTCACGACACACGAGAGATGCGTTGTTAAAAAAAGTAGCTAAGTAACTTTTACTTAAAGTACATTTTAAACAAGTAACTTTTTACTTTTACTTGAGTAGAATTTTTTACTTGAGACTCTTTACACCTCTGGTTGTATGCCATCAACAAGCAGTCAAGTTAAAGTTTAAATCCACCCATGTGTCCACCCTTCTTGTGAGAGGAGAACATGCAGGTCTCTCTTTTTTGATGAAGTTTATGATTGCCTAAATGTCCACCCCAACCACTGACATCATACTCACCCTCTCGTTTCTGTCCATGCAGAACAGTCTCGTGTGGTGTCTCTTCTGCACCACCACAAAGGTGATACCAGGCTGGTAATCCTTCTCTAGTTTGATGCAGGCCTCGCGGATCGCCAGCAGCTCATGCTGAAGGACCTGCATGGTTTAAAATGACAGGACATGAAGGGTTAACAGATGACCGTTTGCACAGGGTTAGGGTTATTATGATGAAAAGCTTTGAGACTATTCTAAGGTGTTAACAATTAGCCATACAAAAAAACAAAAAAACAGAAGAATTAACAGAAACAATCAGCTCCACTGCATGCATTATCAAATGATATTTGTCCTGCGTTCTAATAGTTTTCTGAATCATCACTACCATGAGTTTCACCTGGTTGAATTGGCCCTCAGAGATGCCATCACGGTAGTAGATGATTCTGGTCGGCTTGAAGCGGGTCGATTTGTAGAATTGGATGAGCAGCTCCCTCACCATGGTGGCCAGGTCCTGGATGATGTCCTGACGGTGCTGCTGCACCCGCACTGTGGCGCAGTATCTGCTAGGGTGGGCATCCATACTACCCACGACCTGAATGGGGAAATATCAACAAGAGTAAAAAAAATAATTTGTCACAGAACATGAAAAGTGTGAAAAGTGTAAGGTGCAGGATGATGGGGAGTTTCAGGGAGGTTAACGGGAGTCTGGGGTTATTTTTGAGTTTATGGACTACGAATTTGGCCATATTGAACAACTACAGACGTATGCTTTGAAGAGCCATACGTGACTTATAACATACATTAAACAGTAAAATAAATCATCCTTTGCTCTTTAGTCTGGCTTACTCTCTACCCTCAGTCAAAAGCTGGTAGATACCTGCCAACTTAAAACCTGGTTTGCAGGTAACTGGTTTTTAAGCACATCACTGCATCAACAACTTCTGGACTTCTAAGGGTAAAAACATTTAAAAAAGCAGAGACATGACTAATATGTTTCACTTAAACACTTATTTTTACATAAAGTGGAAAGAGGCAACATTTACTTTTCTAAACAGACCCCATCAGTAACGATGTGAGGTAGCACATGGTGGAATTCTACTGTGATTGTCGTCCTTTGGGTGTTGCTGGGAGCAGCCTGGCCTCAGTCATATAATAAATGTTCCGGCGATAATACCAAAACAATGCGTTAAAAGAGGCTTCAGAACTGCATTGATGGTTGGTGGTTCTAGGGCTTAAGTTTGGCATCCGTTTGTCATTTTTAGGAATGGTGTGAAGCTACTCACGGCAGCGATTGAAGGCTTTTTGCCATCTCCTGCAGGAGGGTGAGTCACATCTGCACCAAGGAAGATCACCGGCTGCTGAAACACCAACGGCCTGGAGTGAAAAGATAAAGAGTAGAAACAGTTAAAAATTCAGCACAAAATAAAAAGAGAGTATAACAACATTTTTTTATATGTGTCCCATCGATTCATCTCATTATACGCGGGTCTTTACTCACCTGCCCTGTGGGAGGAGGATGTTGTTGACACCACCCAGCTTGACGTTGATCTTCAGACAGAGGTTGGAGAGGGTCTGAGGTGTTGTTTTTTGAACGTTCTTCACCTGCACACACTGCGTGGCCATGCCAAGTACCGTGTCCCCGACACGTTTCACCTCAGCTGCAACACACACACGAGGGCAACAAGGTGAGAAATTAATGAAACACTCTCAGGTAAAAAACTGATGTTTTCAGATCCAGCCATGGTGCATTAATCTGGGGCAGGATGCGTGGTCTGATTCACCTCTGTGGCATCAACACATACACATCATCTGTAAAGCCCTCAATCCTTTTATGCAGGATGTGATTCCTGGAGTTTCAATGAGAACCATAGCGTCATCTGGTCCAAATGCTTTTTTTTCTTAAAGCTTCAATAGAAGCAGTAAAACTCACTCAGCAGGAATGTTCATTAGAATCAGACCAACTTCATGGGACTCAAATATGACTTCTCTTAAGATTTAAATCCTTGCTGATTTCGGCAGTTTGTGAATTGCATAATGCTTTTTTTTTTTTAACTGTCCAAACTTAACTCTGTCAAAGCAGTAGATTTCACAAAGATCGGCTTGCTACTTATGAAGCGAGTCATTTTCTGTGAACTCCAGGCTGCGTAAGCGGATCCCTTACCGTAGACGGGTGTCTTTCCGGGTAGGATGACGACCACCAGCTGGAGGCCCTGGTAGGTGTATTTGAGGTGCCTGAACATGGGCTCCACGCTGTCCGCTCCCTGGGCGTATTTACAGAAGCACGGCTGACCCTGGATGGGCATCCCTGCATCCCTTGAGATCTTCCTCAGCTGATCTGTGAATGCTCTGAGAGACACCGTTCAGTTAGGGTTTAGATTGTAAGATGCAAATGATAGGTAAACATCAAAGAAGAACATGTCTTGCACATGCTATCCATTGCATCAACGCTAGGTCAACACTCACATAAACCTTGAAACATATTCGAGATCAGAACCCAACTGCAAAAGAAAAAACCTAGCGAGCACCTCAGATGAAAATTGCACAGCTGAGCATATTCATCTTGCACTCTTTTAGCTCTACAAAAGGCAAAAGACTTTCCTTATGGGGCCAATCAAAAGATTCTAGACACCAGACTGTTCAGTTGTGAAGGAACAAACTGTTGGACAAATCAAGCATGACCGCAATGTGCTGTGTCAATGTTTCATTGAGGACTTTTATTATGAACGTACTTGAGCAGGAGTTCAGTGCACTGTCTCTGCGGTGCGAAGCAGGCGATGGCCCACACCTTGATCTCAATGCCAGTGTGGAACTGCTTGTTCCTCATGTCCCAGACTCCTTGGATCGGTGTGGCTATTGCTTTGTTCTGAAATCAACAATGAACGCCAGCTTGTTAGCAGTGCTAGTCAGTTTGCAGGACATCACGTAGTTCCAGTGATGCGAGTAAAATGAGTGCCGTCTTTCAGGTAAACCATCAGCACATCCACGCGACTGATCATCTTACCCTGCCTCCGTACAGAATGGAAGGTGCTTGTAAGACTCTGCCATTTACTTCTGTCATCTCATCCCTCACCATCACTCCGAATTCACGTACGTAAGGGTCAGTGTTGAAGTTGGCACTCCTCATCTGGATAAAAAGAAACAAAACAGTTTTGTTGGCTGTGAATATCTCCTCTCATCACTTAACCCCCAACACCTGCAAATGTAGCCATGTTTAAATGTCTGTCAAGATTTTCATTAAATGCAGTCATAATGGAAAATGTTGTAATGGTACATACAGTATTGAGCCGATAAAGACACCGTCTAATTATCAAAACACATAGAGGGGCTTACAGGCATTGTGCAGCAGAGCATTGTGTTTAAATCATCCATAATTCAGTCTTTTGGGGGAGAATGTGCCCCTTTCTATGCAAATCACCCTTAATCTGACAAAGTGTGTAATTCACTAACACAAGCGCTAACAGCTACGCAGCGTAAGAGTGGAATAACATGTGCAGAGACCAGGTGGTGACATCACTGCACTACACCTTTAAGAGATGTCTCGCTCAAACTTTCCACTGATCAGGAAAACAGTTCAGCCTCTGCTTGACTTTAAAATACTTTATCTTTATTTAAAGTCTGTAAATATGACTCTGATATAAGTATAATCAATATAACCAGGGGTTAAATCAGTCTGAGGCTGTCAGTGGCTCCACACTTTGTCCACATCTGTGGAGACGCTCTGGCGTCGTTATGCACAAAGACAACGTTTGTTTGAAATGTATTTATTTTTCTGGCTCAGAACTGACCTCTAAGTTTCATTCAGTAAACACTTATCCCAAGTCTCTTTCACACATGCACTGTAGTCCTGAGAATGTCCCAAAATGTTCCCGTCGGAGCAGGAAATATTCAAGATATTTCAGTTCTGCTTAATGGACTGATAGATGATGTCATTTATGCTGAGCAGTGCTTTGCTGCTGTTTACTGTCCTGATTTCTTTCTGGAACATGTCAGGAGTGCTCGTGTGAAAAAAGGGCTTCGGTGACCTACCAGTTTACTGATCTCATCCTGGCGGTCCGGTGCCGATCGAGCTGTGGCACGAATCATAGTCGAGGTCTGATTGTCGGTCAGCTTTTTGATGCAGCGCTGTCCTGCCACGATGTTACACACCTGGGATAAACAAAACAAGGGCGAGACAACAGTTTAAGAGAAAACATTTATAGAAGTCTCTTTGACCTATCAAAGAAAGAACGAGTAGGATCTGTTGCTTACCTCAAGAGGTAGGTAGGTGTGTTTCTGCTCCTGTCCCACCTGTAGACACGGGAGGTGGGGGTATCTCAGGATGAGCTTGTATTTGTCTTTGAAGTACTGTGCTACTGTGCATTCAATGGTTTGGCCGTTTTCCTGCTGCAGAGGGAACCTGAGGGAAGAACAGAGACCAAGAAATGTCAAGAGGAGCCACATTTCTCCAACAAAAACCTCCTAAAAGCTGCTCAGCACATCACATTTAAAGAGCAAAGAGATCAATGTCAAGACTTTCCTCACATCAAACACTCAGTATGTGCTTAAAAAACACAACGTCTAGAAATAGAGGGAGCCTGCATTATACATGGCGCTAAATACAGAAGAATTCATGTAACAACAGCCTATTGTGTCTTCACTGAAGACTAATGACTGAGCTGCAGTGAACTTTCTAATAATGTAACATGACCACAGACGTGATGAAGAGCACCGTCTTACGTTTGGTGGCTGGCTGGCCTTCTGGTCACGTTGCAAACTCTGTACTTCCTCTTCATCTGCCCACAGTGAGTGATCTCCACCTTCAGGCCTAGGTATAGGAATCATGTAAAAAGATAAACAAATGATTTTAAATACCAAAATCGTGAAATGAAGAGACATTTTAGTGACTTAAGATATTGTTCATAGGTCCTTACATGTTACGGGACAGAAAAGGGACAAACAGAAAATGTCTTCAAGCAATAACAGAATTAAAGGTGCACTGTGGAGTTTTGGTAGAGGAATGTGAAAGTTGGAGAAATGTACAGATTCTGTGGTATATGTTCATAACTCTATACACAAAGTGTCCTCAGAGGAAAATGTGCTCCCTATGGAACAGTGTTTGAAGATAAAAATGCGAGAAGTTATGGTGGAGGGCCTGCAACAGTGAAACCATAACTCTCCTGGCAGCTTTTTAGGGACCAATTTTTTTCGTTGAATAAAGTTTGTGTATTGAGTTCAGAAAATATAGCATAGAATTGTTTCACTTCTCCAACTTTTAAATTTCACTACCAAATCTACATAGTGCACTTTTAAAGATGGCGTTTATTTAACCATTAAATTTGATAAAATAAATTTGAATCATGTAGCCGAATTTTCTCCTTGATGAATAGACGTTATTGTCAAATAACACAAAAGAATCTTAAGGTCCTGACACACCAAGCAGGCAGCAGAGAACTAGTGGCGACTAAGGCCGACTGTGGCGTCGCCTCGCGGCCCTTTTGTTTTAGCCAAAAATTAGCTCTAGAACACACCGCAAAGACTACAGCCGACAGACAACCACCACGTACGTTCTGCGCATGCGTGAGAGGAAATAACTCCCCATGCCAGCAGGCGGCGGTATTCCATTGTTATGATGCAAGAGCATTTTCACACCGCTGACGCGCACCACTCATATTATAGGTACTACTAATCCAGAATAATGTCTGATGAAAAGTTGAAAATGGTACTGGTGTTGTCAGCCCTTGGTCTTTTAGTGGAAAAAGAAAAGAAGAGGCCGAGCCGACAAATAAGGAGAAACCGCACTAATGGGTGAAAGCATGGATACTACAGCGGCATGCTCAAGGGGCTTTCCCCAACATGTGTCGAGAGCTGGAGTTAGATGAAAGCTCCGAACAGCCAATCAGAGAGATTCTTCATAACAACTGCGCAGACGCCGATTCAACTTCAACATGTCGAATCGGCTTAAAAAAAAAAAAAAAGCAGACGGGGGGGTGGGGTGGGGGGTGGGGCCGACGGGTAGCGACGGAGCTGGACACACCGCAAAAACAAGGGCGACGGTCGCTCACCGTAGGACCAACTAGGACCGCTGGCCGACGATCTCCTTGATGTGTCAGGGCCTTAATAGGGATTCGAGCAAAAACAAATCTTTTTGACTGAAAATTCTGGACATATAAATGAAATGCAGAGGAGCTCGCTACATTAGCATCTTAATATTAAAATGTGTTTTCTCATCCAATAGAACGAATAACTCATTTTTCAAAATCAAGGGCAATAGGTATGACCATGGCTGTGTCTTTAAGTACATTGTGACGGTAATGTTTGAACACACTGACAGCCTTATTGTGCACCTATTCATATTAACCCACTGGCACCAGGCAGTGATACAGCAAACTCAAGGGAAGTGAAAATTGTGAAAGAGTTCCAAAAAAAAATGCAGGTGGGGGCGTCGGGGAGAATTCCCCATAAATATATAAAGTTATTTTAGTCTGCAAAGAAACCTTTTAGGAGTGTGTTGAACTTAGAATATGAAAAAAGAGAAGCTTGAGGAGGAAGTACTCAGGCCTGCTACTCGAGCAGCTCGAGATAAGAATACCTGAAGTGTAAAACAAGGCCTCTTGAAAGTTATGAACATTACTTTAAGAGGGTTAACAAACTTGTCCGTCATGTTATGGACTTTCATTCTCCTGTGTTTCACTTTGGTCAGGGTAATTAAAGTCGCTCACTGAAGCCTACTAACATGATATGTCCGGGAATGTGCACTCTGACGTTAGCTACCAAAATGAGAGCTGACCTTATATACTAAACCGAACATCATGTAACATGTAGCAGACGGGAGAAAAGTTCTTATTCTCACATCCAGATGAAACACAGCAGAAACACGATGCTATACTTGTGTTTCAATTCACGTAACTGCATGTAAAGTTGTCAGCAACCCCCATTCTCCTTGTTTCTTCCCCCCGTCGGACGGACACAGACCAAAAATATCATTACAATTCTGAATATGACAAAAATTCCTTGTGGCGACAGATCGTTGATCCCTGATCTAATTGACAAGAAACTACAACATCTTCTGCTCAAAATTTCACTCACCTTTAATTTCTTTTGTAAACTTGACTCGCTGAGAGTCGGTTAAGGGCTTCTGTTGTTCCTCGATGCTTTTGAAATCCAAGACCTCACACATAAACTCGATTACTGGCTGGGCTTTGTAGAACGCAGTGGCTGAAACTGCAAGCGAAACAAGCACGCATGGGTGAGAATGACCTTACTGAAATAACAAAACTTCATACGATGTGAAGAAAATCAAAGAAAAACTTAAGATACCATCGATGTTGAGCATCATCTTCCAAAGGGAAGGCCTGACAGACTGGTGGAAGCCAAACCACACCTCTCGACCACCGCCGAGGGGGTTCGAACATCCTTCTGAGGGAGTGAAGAAAGAACGGCCCACTGGGGTGTACCTGAGACAGAGGAGAGTCAGCCGAACAGCCCGATTAATACACCAACAGAGATATTTTCATGACTGGTTAAAAATCAACATTTGTGACCCTCGGTGAATGAACATGTTGTTGATAACACTCAGCATTTGAACAGTTTTACAGGTTTGAGATTTTGAGCATTTAGAAAAAGATTGCCCCCTGCCAATATCCCCACGTTCACCACCCTCACCCAATACAAAAAAAAAAACGTTATCTTTCGGCTGACAGACGTACCAGAGAACAGAATCATTTAAAGGCAATCTATCGTGTATATAAGAATCTCTTTTTAACGATAACAAACCCACCTCATAGAAGGTAAATGTCTCATGACCACATCCAGGGCTTGGACGGTCTCAAACGGGACGCTTGGCAGTCGTCCCGCCAGAGCCTCGTGCAGAGCCTGCAGGCTGACGCAGGACACCCACTTGATGGAGACTTTGAAGCTGCGGTCTTTGCCTTCGCCAGGAATGGTCACCTCGAGTTCCACCTGGGTGACAGATGAGCGAGAAGACACAAAGACAGAGGCACTGCAGTGAGATTTCAACTTTAGAAAAACATTTCTAAAAAAAAAGGTGTAGATTGAATCTGTTATTTTTAACAATGACATACCTTGTCTCGGCCAATGGGTAAAGGCATGGCGGTGTAGAGATTTTTCCTCCCGTCATACACTGGCTTTCGATCACCAAAGATCTGTGTTTTAAAGTGCTGGACCATGTGCTCCACAATTTCACTGAGGATAAAAAAACAAAACAACAACAGATGAATAAGCACAAAGCTTATGTCGTGTACATGCAAGGGGGCTGCTGATACTCACCGATTGACCCTCCTGGGGCATTTCTCGGGCTTGATGTCGATGTCGTAATGGTAGACCTCCAGTTTGGGGATCTCCATTTCAAAGAAGTTGGCCTGGAGCTTGATTGTCCTGCCCATGGTGCCAAAGTCTGGCCGTGATGGAGGCTTGAACACATATTCTGGCACTGGGGAAGATGGGGGTTCTGGAAAAAAAAAAAAGGTAGGCGAGATGAAGAAATATGTAATGTATAAAAGACACTGGACATTTCCCCACAGTCTTTAGGACCCAAGTGCATCTGGACGAGTCACTTATAACTCATAAGTTAGTGTTTATTAAGTTAATATAATAGAACCAGTGGAGAGTCACTCCTTTACACCTGAAGCATTGAGCTGTATGTGGTGTTTACAGCAAGCTAGTTCATAATCCACACTGACACTTAGTTAACTGATGACAGTTCACTGATTGTTGTTATTACAGCTGAATCCCAACTCACCTGACACTGGAAGAAATATTCCAGGTCATTCATTTTAGTGGGTAGTGGGCTTCTGAGACGTCTGGCATTAATGAGGCTATGATTTGAGTACTGTTCTACCCCTGGAGAGAATGCATCAGGCTTTGATCATTAGCAGACATGTTGAACCAAGACTCCATATATCTGCAGGTTCAGATATTACAGCGAGACCTTCAGTGCAAACTCCCCATGCCCATCTGAGCCTTATCTTTACGCTCCAGCTCTGCTTATTCAAACAGAACGACACCCATAAAGCCTAGTAATGAATATATTGAACAACCTTTGCTGTTTACAAAACCCAGTGTCATTAGCACATAATGATGTGAGCTCAGCGGACCATGTAGCATGTCTTCAGTATCTCATTTATAGTGCTAAATAATCCGTGCACTATTTCATTATTCAGCCAGAAGTTTAAATTGTATTCCTGATGAGTAAACATTGTGATCGCCCAAGTTTTTTTTTTTTTGTCGCCATTAACACTGGAACCATGCAGCAGCCAGGTTAAGGATTTTAAAAGCCCAAATATGGAATAGAAACTTACCAGAGCTTGCTGACCCAGAGGAACGGGGTCCCTCGGCCATCTCAGAGGCTACAGAGGGGCAACGAAAGACATTTTAAGAACACATTATAATACAATTGATCTAATGCACACTGAGGGTACATTTCTAGAAGTAGTGGAAGTGTATAGTTATGTTTCTGTCTTGTTATAACAGACACATCACACACACACACAGGAGCATTTTTTGATAGAAAAAATAAACACTGAATAGAGTTTTACTAATTTTTCATTGCAAACACCCTTAAAAAGTATGTATTTATCTCTTATCACTTCCACAGCACCATCGTCCACAATCAAGGGCAACTTTTTCTAAAAAAAAAAAAACCCTTATCAACCTGCACACAGAAGGAGTCTCGCAAGCTGGTTATCTCAGTCCACTGAAGCCACCCTTTCTTGGGAGAAAATAATCTACACGCTGAGACAATTTGTAATTTAGTACTACAAGAAGAGAAGAGATGCCTCCTGCAACATTAGAAAACCACACTTTCCACTGAACCAACCCAAATAACTAGATAAGACAGAAGGACAAATCTTGCACAGTTTCCCTGGATGAACAGAGACAAGTGGGATAACATTATATTATCTATCATATATATATATTATATATTATAGTCACAAAAGAAGTCTGTCTGCCAAATGAAAACCAACTGTTACACTGTGTTACCTCACTCAAACTTCATGTGTATCCTTCATAACCTCTATATGCTCAATGTCAAAAAAGGTTGAAATACAATCACAGCGCAATATCGAGGTGTCCTTAAATGTAAATACCGGGCAAAAAAAAATTGGTAACACAATGTGTAATTACCAAATGAAGTCGGATACTACCCCCATGACTAAGATTGGTGATGATAGCATGGTCGGCCGCTTCAACTTTCCACTGGGTGTGCAACTAGCACGTCCTCAAAAAAAAAAAAAAACAACACTCACCTTTGTCTTAACAATCGCGCATCTGATCGAGAATACAAACGCCAATCAATCCAAACCCACCCCCCAAGTGTGATTATATCAGGCAGCTAACACAAGTTTAAACATGCGAATTACCGAGGAGCTAACTCGGCTAGGTAAAAGCAGCTTCTTGTTTGTTGCACGCTAGCCTCTCTGCTACTAATGCCTCCACTTAGACCGGGACGAGATGTTCTTGATCGCACCGTTTTCTACTCTTGTAATAATCAGGAGAAACAGAAATAAGAATTCAAAGTGTGTTTCAGCAATGGCTCGATGCAATGAGGCACAACAATGCTGCAACTAGTGTTAACATTTACTGGCTGTGTCGTTTCGCCGATGCTAATGTTAGCTCCAGCACTTACCTCCAGTAGAGGAATACATTTTGTCGACTTTTTTAAGCGTGTGTCGTGGACCTACGAACACTCCACTTTATTCAGGCGAAATCCCACCGAAACTCATACGTGGTCGAAAAGTATGTAAATGAACAAGAGCAATGGAGGAAGCCCAGTTCAGAAATAAAGATATTTAGTTAGCCAAGTGGTAAATATTTGGAGTGTCTCATCCTCGGCACGGCCCCATCCCCCCAACACACAAAACGGGAGCCGAGAGAAAAGATAGTACGGAAAAGAACCATGCAGGCCAAGAGGCTTCCCTCCACTGTACTTCCGCCTTTGGTCGCTCCCCGTCAAGCCGACAGAACCATGACGATACTACATTTTGGTTTGTTTTTTGTTTTCATATCAACACGGCACAAGCGCAACAAAAAGAAAAAAAAAGGGCTTTTTAATTTATTGCACTTTAAAAATAATATTTATAATAATACGGTAACCTGTCACCTCTGTAACAGAGAAACGCAAACTAATAAACATCACTAGTATGCGCGTTCTAGTATCAGATATTTACAATTTATAAAGGCTGACTCTTTCTTAAAAAAAAAAAAAGAAACGTGCCCAATCCTTAGAAGCTCTCAATCAGCGCATTTTGGTGTAAATTAAGGCCAAAAGAATATAAATTATTGTTCATGGGGTGAACAATCTTGCTGGCCGCACGCTCCAGTGACGTCAGACGCACTCTGCGCGCTCGCAGCCCTGACCCGAATTCAAATCTGTAATCACAGGAAAGGTAGATTTCACGAGATTATATAGATACAACGACTTTCTTTTTGGTGTGCCTAACCATATCGCCCTGTCTTTTTGATATACCAATAACAAACCGAGGAAATAAAAACTTGTGAAAGTGCAAGCCCTTACAGTCTATGGGAAAGACAAAACAAGAAGAAATTCGTTGCGCGGGTAGAGGAAGTACTTCCGGGGCATACAAACCAGGTAAGCGAATAAAAATAAGAATTAACATTTCTGTAACACTCGGGTACATTTTTCTCTGTTAGTTCAGTCACAAGGTGTAATAATGGTACAATGTGAAGCGAATGAGAAAAAGTTCAGTTTTAATACTTGTTGATAAAAGAAGGAATAAACACGCTGAATTCTAATTTATATTGAACAAGCAAAATGACAGTAAAAAGTAGTCTATTACAGCCTTCTGCCTTTACAGAAACACCTGTGGTGCACCGATCATAGACTGTAGGTATAAATAGGCTATGTCGTGTATCACTCGATTATTCTTTCATTTCCCTTTGTCCTTTTTTCTTCTCACTTCATGTTTGTTGTAGGTTTGTAGTAGAACTGTATGGACCTTATGTAGGGCTGGGAAATATATCGAGTTTTTAAGATATATCGATAGATTTTCAAACAAGATATTGGGTAAGACAATATCGTTAATATGGATATAGTTTAAGTTGCATTAAAATAATGTTATAGAGGTGCCAGGTCACCTTTTTCTCATCTCACTGATGATGACTGACTGTCTGTCCCTCTTAACCCTGCTCCTCCTCTCTCTCTCTCTCTTTTATTGTATTTAAGGAACATTTAGTACCTTTAAACAGGTAGTTTATTTTTCCATGTGTATTCACTGTTAATAAAACACATATCGATATATATCAAGTATCGCCATTCAGCTAAACAATATTGAGATATGAGTTTTGGTCCATATCGCCCAGCCCTAACCTTAAGTGTTCTGTGCACTGTGTATTCTACCTCCTACTGTGAGAGTAGATATAATATTAAAATACCCTTACATCTGCTTCCTACAGCCCTTTGGATTTTTATTGTATATAATTTCAGTATGTGTCTAAATGTTCTGTAGGCTTCCTACATTGTCTCTCTTTTTCATTGAGCGCCCCATTTTCCATAGTTAACTTAAATATCATCCACCTTTGTCTGTCTTTTTTATTTCTCTTGGAGTCTTCCACTATGCGATGCTTGGTGTGCAGCTTCTTGTTTTGGCCACTAGTCGGCGTTGTCCACCACTTAATGGGTAGACGGAGGTGCTGAGATTTGATTAGGTTTTAAGATGAGATAAGACAAGATGAGTATTGTATTATCCGATTAGCAAAACCGGTCATTTTTTTTCATTGTAATAAAAAAACAATTGCAAAACTGCTGGTATGTTTGAAAAGAAGCCTTAAACAGTTATTTCAGGTTGACGTCGTATAGCACATGAAATGGGCTATAGGCCTACTGGTTCAATTTTATGTCACGTTAACTGGACATTAAACACTTTGATGAAATACAGGCCTAAATTCAGGAATGAACTAAAGAATGATTTAATCAGGTTTAGCAAGGGGTTAAAATAAGTGTAGACTATAAATTTAAAAAAAAAAGCAGGAAAGATTAAATCATTATAATTGTATTTGGTTTTATGACTTATTCTGTGAGAAATTTGCCGACTTGATTTCATGTTGTAATTGTCAGAAATTAATAAAACAGCGACTTTTTGATCAAATGTTTAAAGAAAAAAAAAACATGACAATTTTATTAAACGGTCGGTCTTAAAGAAGGAGGCCTCAAGGGTAATGAGGTTTTGTCTTTCTTATTTATCCTTCTGTAAACGTCGATAGGCCACGCGGCCAACACTTTAATTGCCTTCATTGATTGATAGAATAAAAACACAACAATGCAGCCACATAGCCCGGGTGGTTTCCCCCCCTATAAGAAAGCTGGCTGAGTGAATTGGGTGTAGCTGTGTCTGTGTGCGCCTTGGCCAATGGAACCAGATCCTCCCTGCAGTGCGTAAGAGCGCGATTTAGGATTTAACCAAGTCTTTGCTGCGGGGCTGGCTGCAGTCTTCACCAGAGCCCAACGGCCCAGGAACCTTCCGACGATGTCAGTGTAGTTTTTCACACCGCTTTGGAGTTAGACAGCTTCTTTTTGATTATAAAAGAAAACAAAATTCACTCGTTTCTTCGCAAAGTATGACTGGAGTATTCGACCGGAGGATCTCGAGTGTGAAACCTTCAGACTTCCAGAGCTCTTTTCAACTCTCCACCATGCACCATCCGTCTCAGGAATCTCCTACTTTACCCGAGTCCTCCGCCACGGATTCTGGCTACTACAGTCCGGCCGCTGGAGTCACTCACGGCTACTGCTCGCCCAGCTCCACGTCGTACGGGAAACCACTCAATGCCTACCAGTTCCAATACCCGGGAGTCAATGGATCCGCTGGAAATTACGCGACAAAATCCTACACTGATTACAGCTCGTACACGACCCCCGCCTACCACCAGTATGCTGGGACTTACAGCAGAGTGCAAGCCCAGCCGAGTCCTCAAGGTACGGCCCGCAGATTTATTTTCTTACGATAGGAGCAAAGGCGATTATTAATGGATAACCACCATTAGCCTACTGTTTAAATAAGCAACATTTACATATGAGCGTCATTTAAAAAAGCTGTTTAAATCGCATATTGTTCTGACTTGCATAAAAATGCAAGGTGAAGCTCAGAGATTTTAAAAAGCAATACATGTTTATTTTTTTTAATTTTTTTTTTTAAACTGCAAGTTCCAGTTGGATAACATGTTTGAGAATACGCTTGCTGTCCTTTTTTTTTTTTTCTTTCAATAGGCCTTCATTAAATGTGTTTATAAAATTTGATTATTTTCTGATTTTAACGGATAAAGACGACAACCTCTTCACGAGTCACACAGAAGAGGGGTACATTTGTATTTAGGTCAATTATTTACTCCTTTTCTTTAACAATTGTTTTATAGAAAAAGAGATAAGCGAGCCTGAGGTGAGGATGGTGAACGGGAAGCCGAAGAAAGTGAGGAAACCTCGGACCATCTACTCCAGTTTTCAGCTGGCCGCCCTGCAGAGGCGCTTTCAGAACACACAGTACCTGGCCCTGCCGGAGAGAGCCGAGCTTGCTGCTTCACTGGGACTGACGCAAACACAGGTGAGAATTTATATACAATTTATTATCATCCCTTTTGTCGTCGTTTGGACTGTTTACCAGTCGTCTTTGTTTAAAAGAATGACGAAAATAATGCTGTTTTGGTGAGCTGTGCTCCTGTGCGCTTTTACGCACGGTGTGTATCTTAACACATGATTTGCTTCTGCGCCTTCATGAAATATTAACGGCTCTGTTTTCGACTTTTTCCCCCCTCCCAGGTTAAAATCTGGTTCCAGAACAGGAGATCAAAATTGAAGAAGATCATGAAAAATGGCGAGCTTCCCCCGGAGCACAGCCCCAGCTCCAGCGACCCCATGGCGTGCAACTCCCCACAGTCCCCGGCCGTTTGGGACACACAGGGCCCCTCAAGGCCGCACAGCCTGCAGCCGCAAAGCATCAACACTACGGCGGCTAACTTTTTGGAAAACGCGAGTTCATGGTACACCTCTGCCGGCAGCTCCATGACTTCCCACCTGCAGACCCCTAACTCGATACAGCACTCGTTGGCTCTTGGAGCAGGGACGTTATATTGAAAAAAAAACAAAAAAAACAACACAAACCGGTTGTTCATTTCAAGTATTTTTTTTCTCCTCCTTCTATGGGACTCGTGTTCAAATTTCAGAGGAATATGCAATGTATTTGATGACAGTCATAGAAGAAACGTGTATAATGTGTAAATGTGTGCATGTAATTTATTGCATTTTTTTTTTGGAAGACTATTAAACGTTTAAATGGACAATGGACCTTTGAACCTTCCGGCCTCTCTGCAGTCTCTTGTTATTTTAACCCTCATATACTTAGACGGAAAATCACGACAAAGACTCACACGCATAAATAATGTCTGAGCCTCAGGTGACGTTACACACACACACACACACACACACACACACACACACACACACACACACACACAGTTGTTAATCAAAGCTGCTCAATGTGAGATGACTTTATGGACAATATCGTAAATCTTATCTAAATCTAGTCTTACATTTTTCATTCTGCACTTGCAATAATATATGGAGTATTATTAAAAGGCTTCTCTGTGATTTTATAAATGGGAGATAAAGATAAATATATAGGCTAATTGTAAACCTTTTTTGTTAGACATCGCTGCTGTGATATTTAGACCATCCTCAGTTTGTGTTTCCTGAATGGAATGATTTGTCCCTTTTTTTTCAATGTAGAATTTGTGGATTCTGCAATACATCATTGTAACAATCCTTTACTATTATTTGTCCTTTACTATCATGTTATTGTTGGCTATAGTCAGAGGTGGCACACGTCCCTGAATTTATTTTTAAACAATCTTTTTCATGATTGTTGAATCATTAATATTGTTTTATGAATAATATTCTATATAAATATATATATTTTATACAATAATATCACTCTATCATCTAATATCAAATATCCTGGAATATTATTATGTGTTATCTTTAAATAGCCTAATAATATTTGTTGATTACTATACTGGCTCTGATCACGTTTTTGATCAATCCCCTGATTGAGCCTTTCAGCCTGCAGCTCTGTGTGCACAGAAAAGCCTCCTCCTGCAGCAGACAGTGTGCAGTCGCTCGCGCTTTGTGTCCCCTACAATTAGCCGCTTTGAATGGCAGAGAGGGGGTGAGGGGGGCGGCACGGAGATCTGAGACAATCCGCATTCCTGTGGGGGTAGACCGGCTCCAGAGCTCTGCCACTCCCGGCCGCATGCAGCCCACCTTCCGGGTAAATTAAAAAAAAAAAAAAAAGTGTGTGTGTGGGGGGGGGGGGGGGGGGGAAGTAGCAAATCCTCCACAATTTCACCATGATATTCACAGGCAAATCCAGCGCTGCCGCAGCAAAAACCGCCGAGTAAACCGCGAATGGATCTAATTGAATTTTACCCACAATTGTGCACAAAAATCACAATTTATTTTTATTTATTTTTACAAAACACTTGGCACAACATTTCACTCCCCTCTGAATCTCACACTCACAACATCACAACAAACAAAACTGCATCTGACCCACACACTGAACTATGCATTCAGCATTTCCACCTGACACACACTCCTCTAGGCTACTGATTGCAGTACTGAATACACCTCTCTCTCTCTCTCTCTCTCTCTCTCTCTCTCTCTCTCTCTCTCTCTCTCTCTCTCTCTCTCTCTCTCTCTCTGATACTCACAAACACACACTCACACACTGCATCAGGTCTGCAAGCAAGGGCTCAATTTGAACAGAATCCACCTAAAAATCTCGCCCTTAACTTCAGTCTATACCTTCTGCCACTCTGGGTGAGAATATCACAGATCAGGGGGGGATAAGGGCACGTGATGAAAATGTGGATGTTGATAGGAAAATATCTGTTCCGTGGTGGACGGAAGCAAAATGCAAACGCTCGTAAAAGATCACCTTGTTCTTCTGCGTTTTCTCGTCCCTCTTCTTCATCGTGCAAAACGCCACCGTGCTTGTTGTTTCCAGCTCTAATTCATGCTGTAGGCCAAACAGAAGCAGCGTAATTACAGCGCGAGCAGGTCACCTGAGAAAATGAGATATTTTTTAATAGGCTAGCTCACGCGCTCAAAAACACTCAGGCACGCGCACTGTATGGACCACAGATGCACACGAAGGCCTTTATATCCCCCTCATAAACACACAAAAACTACTGAATGTCCCCCAGCATTTATATCTCACACACACTCTAACAAACACACACACACACACACACACACACACACACACACACACACACACACACACACACACACACACACACACAGAGTCTAACAAACACACACACATAAATACTCACACACTCGTGCTGCCATTATATCGAGAGCCCCTGTTTATTTCCAACCGAACATTTTCCACTCAGCTAGTTTCCCCCCGTTTTGCAAATCGAGTCTAAATAATGACAGTTAGCTTTACTGGACAGCTTCAACTGTAACACTCCACAATAATTATTCTCTAGGATTAGGGCTCCATTATCATAATCTGGACATTGACAATTACCTATAATTTGCAAAGATGCGCTTAGTTCTTGATTGCAGAGGGCTTTTTTTTTTTTTTTCAAGCTCGCCATCACTAAACAGTGACAGTAATAACAGCTAATTTTGCAGGCAATATATAAGAGCTTACCGGGGTGTGCAAACACTTTCCCACCTGGATTTGGGTATTCAACCAGCAGCAGGAAAAGCAGTGCAGAGCTTTATTTTTTTGGTTAGTCTGCTAGGAGCGCAAGAAGGTAAGGTTGACTCTAATATTTCCTCTCAATGATGCTGTGACACTCTGAACTGGAAATTAGTCTTCAGATTTAAGAGACATAGAGAAATAGAGAGAGAGAAATGTTGCATTGTCCTAAAATCTGATTTGTATTGATTTATTTGAAGGACATGGGGTGTAGATGTTTGTGAGGTAATATTCCCGCGCCTTTACAGTTCATTCAATGTGTGAAATATTGTCAGGTGCTTTTATGTAGAAGCCTGCTTTAGTGCATGAAGAAGAGCAAGGAGTGAGACATCCCTCCCTTCACCTCCCTGCCCCTTTTTCTATCAGTCTGCTGCTCTATCTATCTATCTGTCTATCTATCTATCTATCTATCTATCTATCGATCTATCTATCGATCTTTATTATCAGGCAGAATGCAGGCTACCTATAGCTCTTGACTTGCTTCTCTATCTATCTATCTATCTATCTATCTATCTATCTATCTATCTATCTATCTATCTATCTATCTATCTGATTTAGCTCATCAAAGCCTTTTTTCCATTTGCACAACATGATGAAAAAGGTCGTATCTCTGAGCTGAATAACCTAACTGTGTATTTATGAGCTATGTTGATGTTTACTCGATGCTGCCTCGGGCTCCCTGCAGCCTGAGATCAGGGGTGCAATGGCCCTGGAGCAGATAGACTGAGGCCCCATGTCTGGGATGAGGTTGGGTGGGAGAGTGGGGGTGGGGGTGGGGGGGTCTCAGGTACTATAGCTGAATGTGCGCCAGTGGGACATCCGCAACTTGACAGCTGCATGAAGCTTTTCAGCGTCGTAATTTCAGATAATATCCCGAGCGCTCACTTCTCGCAGCAATTTGTATATGAATAACCGAATAATTTCCCCCTTTTGTTCCATCTGTGCTACCTCAAATCCAAATAAAGATGCCTTTTAGTATTAAAAGTGGTAGAAAATTACAGGTAATTATCTTTGACGGTAAAAACGCTGTAATCAGCGGGCTACATCAAAAATTACCCTAATTATGCCTGCATTTATGAGAATGGAAAAAAAGCCTCACTTGGATAAAAACCCACAAATTGTCCCAAATATCTCCTTCATATTGAACGCTGCTGCAGCTGGCTGCTTTGTTCAAACATCGATCCCGTGGAGCTTGGCATTTAACGTCCTGCATTAGGACGGAGAGAAGGGAGAAAACATTTTGTCAATACTTCTAATAATTGAGGGTGAAATGACAAGATGAGCTGGACCTGGAGCAAATGTCTTTCGGGGTGAATGTAGGCAGCAGCGGTGCAGGGTAAGTTAATTTCCTCCGCTGTTTGATAAATCTATATACTGTGGGGTTTTGAGCGCTTTGGGTTCATTCAAATGGGCTTTTCACTGCAGAAATGTGTCATCAGCTAATGTTCAAATGTCTGGGAGAAGCTCGTGCACACCAGGGGGACGGGAAATAAGAATTTTGAAATGGGATGTTGGCCCAATATGAAGCATGGAAAAGGGGCCTTAAATGAATTTTTTGAAATCATGCAACAGCAGGCATCTGCTTTGAGTCACGGTTTACTCAATCTCACAAAACATAAAAAGTGTATGTACAACTTAAATCGCAGATTATATTTACAGACAGACAATTTGCTTGCTTTTGCATGATTGAGAAACAAACCAAAAATAAAAGCAGTCAGGAGTCCATCATGGCTGAAGGTTCTGGGCGCTAAAGCGCATAGAGAGTTCTCAGTCTTTGGCCCAAAACGTGGCCAAAATATCATTGATAATATTTGGTATATTGATGTTCAGATGTTGACAAGAATGAAAGCATAACAAATAGGCGAGCCCACTCAACAGCTTAAAAAAACGGTTAGTTCCCTTGTTTGTGTCATCACACCGAGGTCTTGGCTGCAGTTTTATCCGTCATTGGAGCAGCAGAAGAGGGGTTTGTCTCCTTTCCTCTCTAGTCTCTGCGCTCACACGATTTGTAGGCTACGTTGGGGTGGGGGGTGGGGGGTTTGGGGGAAACGGCATGGAGAAGATCCGAAGGCCTCCTCTGCCTCCACATGAGTCTATCTCTGCATTGAATCTTGATGTGGGGAGGAATACCAATGAGAGTAGCCGGGCATGTAGCTGTTGGCCGGCATGTTTACTCCTTTGGAAGAGGCCGTGACGTCCCAGATTGGAGGGATAGTGGGAGAGCGTGGGGAGAGGGACATGGAGCCCGGGATAGGGTCGCTTTCGTGCGGGTTGCCGCCTTGCTTCAGCAGCTTTTTGAACTTTGACCTCTTATTCTGGAACCAGATCTTTACCTGTGGGAGGAAAGGAGAGGAGTTCGTGTAATGAGTAAAGGACATGTGGATAAAGAGCTTGTGTGGAGATGCGTAAAAACTGTATGAAGCATTGATACACGAAAAATTATCAGCAACAAAAAATACATAGCCTACTCTAAAAAATAGTAATAATGTTCTAATAAATATTTTAAACTATAGGCTACTATTATAATTATAATTATTCACTATAAATATAATCCTATTTTCAAGGGGTCAATGTAAAGATTGTGGGTGTAAATCCCTCCTCACCTGGGTCTGTGTCAGTCCTAGAGAGGCAGCCAGCTCCGCGCGCTCCGGTAAAGCGAGGTACTGTGTTTGCTGGAAACGGTGGTTCAGTGCTTGCAGCTGCAAACTGGAATAAATTGTCCGAGGTTTGCGAATCTTCTTGCCTTTTCCATTAAAACGAATTTCCCCATTTTCAATCACCGTCGTCTTCTGCTGCTCTGCAACAAAAAGAACCAATGTTATTATTCAAAACCAAGCGCTTGGATTCTATCTCCCTGTGTGTTGAATGCAGAGATAGCCCAAAAATGAAACGCATCAAACGGCAGAAATCTTCCGGGAAAAGGTGGAGATAAAATTGCCTAAAATGAACATTCCTGTGACAACTCGCGTTTCCTTGGAGCGACGTGGCCACAATCCTCATACGCTGTCATATTTAGGATATTGCTGGTAATGACATGTCAATTAAATGCTAATTACAACATTCAGGGCGTGCGTGCAGCCTAATTTCCACGAGTAGTTGGTGAGGATGCACGCTCGTGTATGATCACAACCCGGGTATTAGAGCATGTTTTATTGGAAGAGAGGAGAAGGGCTAAACTGGACAGAAACCCGGGCTGAGAGAGGGTAAAATAGGCTGGATCAGGAATACTATTTGCGCACGATCTTCCCCCGGTGTAATCGACCATACCTACGCTTGAAAGATCATTCGTCTGAAATTGGAGTGACCGCGCGGTGACTTGGGTAGGACACGGGCACTGGCACAGGGAATAGTTTTTATCCCCACTTTCTGGATCACCCATCTCTAATGTACAGTCTGCAAGACGCCACTGGATGGACAAAAGGGAGGTTTCTTACCTGTGCCGTCTAGCCTCGTCTGTCCTCCCGTGTTGTTGTGATAAGACGGCAGGTACGGGCTGTGGTGCGCGTGGCTCACGTATGGGTAAGGTAACGACCTGTTGTAGGTGTTGGTCCCGGTGTACGCGGTGTTGTCGTGCTGGTGGTGCGCGTGTGAGCCGGAGTGGAGACAGTGCAGCGGGTAGTGTCCGCCGGCCATTGACGGGGAGCTCTGCTGTGAGTGCGACTGCTGCCCAAACTCCATGAACGCAGACTTGGACGAGTCCTGAGGCTCCAGACCGTCAGCCATCGTAGTCATGGTCATCATCGAATTTTCTGCCTTGAGAGCACTCACCCCCCTCTCTCTCAAGACCAAATCGGTTTTCTCTCTCTCGCTGTGCTGTTGTCTCTCTCCCCCTCTCCACCGCGGAACAGATATTGTCCTATTAACACCCGAATTTTCCACACGCGCCTTTATTCCCCCCTTGTCTTGTGATATTCTCACCCAAAGTGGCGAAAGGTAGGCATAAGTTAAGGGCGAGATTTTTAGGTGGATTCTGTTAAAATTGAGCCCTTGCTTCCAGACTTGATGCAGACACTACAAGTAAAATGGTTTGTCTCCAAAGGGCAGCGCCTCCCGATTGGTCATCCAACCCAACGTCATCAGAGCTCTGCGCTTCACGGAGACTTGAGCTGGAGTTAACCCACCTTACCAGCTCCCACCACAACTATGGGGGAAATAATATACGATGGGAAAGACGCATAATTCCTACAGACAAGCTTCACACGCAAAACAGCGCTTGTGGAATTGCCGAGCAGATTTTGTTTTTTACCCAAACCCCCAAATTACGCACGAAGCGTCAACATATAGTGCGCGCTTTGATTTAGCCGGACGAGGCAGCAGTCTATATGAGCCTCTTTTTCTCACAGCATTTAACTCCTCCTCTCCTCGAGAATTAATTACTTATAGAGCATCGCACAAACATCCTTCTTAGACAGTATTGAACCTGAAAATTGATTTTTAAACCAAAGACCGACTAATTATTGACAAAATAGCCACACATTTAGTCAAATATCTGTGTTCAAAATCAGCATGTCTTTGTTCTGGAGGATAAAATGATCTTTATTTCAAAAGTAAGAACATTTGTAATCACCTGTAAAATCTTCCAAGCAATTAAATACAAATGTGAATATTAAAAACATATTTTAAAGGCTTGTACTTATTTTCACTTAAGAGGTGATTTGTTTTGTAAAGCACATTTGTGAAACAGGTGGAAAGGCCCTCGAAATATAAGAATATGAGAAAAGGTCCAGATAACTAAGTTTTTTTAAAAACCTACAAATTAGAGCTTTTCAAATATTATTTAAAAAATTACTGATTGAAATGGCTTCTGTTTTTTTTTTTTTCCCGAGTATTTGTCACCTAATGAGCAGCCCCTCTATTAGCCCCCCTCCTGCTCTGAATGTAACACATATTATAACTGTTGCTTTCTCCTGGGGCTACTGACCATATGATTACGGCTCTTCAGACAATTCAAAATACAGCACATGTGACACATCAAATAACAATATGCCTTGGGTACAATAGGTTATTTTGCACATAGAAGGGTGGATACTGAGATAAACTGACAGTGTCTTTTATCCTTGTTGTAATATGAGGCCTGATTTGGTCCTGAATATATGTAAATTATACAGTTTGCCTCTGAGGGCTGACTATGTTCTATTCACAAATAAGAAGAAAATACCATTGCTGCTCATTTCAACCTAATACGAATTGAAATCATGGTTTGCACTTTGATTTTGCCACAGTGTTGCATTAAGTGAATTCACCAAAAAAGGCGATGGAAATAACAATAAATAATAAAATAATTATGGCTGCAATCAAGTTACTGCGAAAACCTATTTGATTAGCGGCCACACTTTACTCAAATTGCAGCTGTAAAATTAAGAACAATTCGCCTGTAATGATTATGGCCTGGATTTATTTTGGGAGGGTGGAATAAAAGTGGATATAGCATAAATTATCCCCTAATTATACGCCAGTGTCGCCTCAATTATCCTCTTATCAAAAATGGTTGTCTAAACGCAGCGTTTAGTTTCAATTTTCTCCTTTTCTGTAACAAGAACTTGGTACCTTGCTATTATCGCCAGCTACGGTTGTTATTTACTTTGTGGGATTTAAAAAGTGCTTACAACCCAGCCGGATAATCATTTTACAGCAGCGGACAGAGAGAGGAGCACAGAGGCAGAGATGTGAGCCGCAGAACACCCACGTGGATCTATTTTATTCCTCCACACTCTTTGATTATTTTAAAATGTTCTTTAAAAAGTCTGCTTGCTTCTTTTTTCTCCGAGAGGGCTGAAGGTAGGAGCTTCCATTTGATGCTCTTCTGTCGACACTGACATTGATGAATGGTTTTGATTGTCTCTGATAATTCTGCATTTTACGCACTCACGGCGCGCACACGCAGACCTTGCAGGAGCACCTTTGGTCACCCCTCAGTGATCTAACACAGTGGCCAATTCCCCTGCCCGTGTTCCACTTGGACACGCAGAGCAGAAACCAGATCCTTTACCTTTTCTAATCGCCTTTGAGGGCTGCTACAAAGACATACATGCTCTACTCCCTGCAGGCAAAAAAGAAAAGAAAAACATCTTAAACAGATTGGATGAGACGTTTTTTTGTGGAGCACCATCGTATGTTTGTGTGTCTGTATGTGTGTATGCCACCGCAGGATTATTAAGTTGCGGGATGACCGTGCGGGTTTGATGTCAGAGTCTTGGTGTCCCGCAGGCGTGTTTGGAGGCTTTTCTATGCACACACTGAGATTAAGTAGAGTGGTGAAAGGACGGATTTGTTTGAACAGAGAGAACATGACATAGTCGACCTTGGTGCCTTTGAAATGCTTAACATATAGCATACATGTTGACAAGCGTGTCTAATTGAGAGGCCTGTGCAGTGTACTATCAATGGACAGAATTTAAAAATGATCATATTTTCATTATAAAGTCATTTTCCGTTTATAAAAACTGTTTTTTAAAATTCACAACTCCCTTTAATGCATCGCTACACCTGCTCTGTCATGCCTCTTATTGTACTCTGCCCCATTAGGAGTTCATCGCCTCATTCCGGAGAGAAATTATTTTAAATTTCACTTCCTCAAAATGTCAATCACAAAATGAACCAGCGGCGAATCTAGAAATCACTTTTGTAGTTCCTAAGTAGATGATTGACCTTCAACACAATCAATGGCCATGCTGGTTTAACAGAAGTGGTCTTTATTTCCAGCTGTCTTATAAAACGCTGATGAATGACTCTCTAAAAATCACTCCAGGCCTGGGATTTCCCTGACATCCACTGTCTGATCCGGGATAGACGACAAAACTGAGGATATTTTACATCGAGCTTGGAGGTGTAACCAGGCCTTGTTTCTGCTTAACACAGTTACTGTCTGTTAAAATAGGATCAAGGCGGGGGTCACAAACTTAACTTAAGTTTGAAATATCATTTGCACAAATCTCTGCACAAATTTAAACAAGACTGGTTAAATAATATGAAACATCTAACTAGCTCTCCCGTCATCTCTCTCTCTCTCTCTCTCAGCCGGTGTACCACTGGCTGTTTTAACACCGCCCGTCTTTTCTTGTCTATCCGGCCACATGTGTTAATCATTTCTGAGCGTTAACACGGAGTTCCAGAAAGACAAGGGTCATAATTGTAGCGAGTGGCTGGGCGTTTGCGGTCGTTTCCCTCTAACAGCTATTGACTGGCTCGCATGGAAAGCCACCTCTTTGGCTGCTCGGGGACCCGGGCGGTCTGAGGAACGCGGAGGCTTGTCACTGCAAAGAAAGATGGAGAGGCAGTTAAACAACATGTCTCCCTTCTCCGCCAAGCGCAAAGCCACTGGCGCTGCACAGACAGCCAGGCGTCGACGGCTCTCCATCTCTCCATGGAAGGAGATGCATGCTACACACAGCTGTCTGTGTCACTTGCTTTATTGTAACTAGATTCAAAACGAGCACGCATGCCACCCCAGCAACCCCAGAATGATAAGCGACCAGCTTTTAATGTTTAAGCAGAATTCATCCGTGCCCAAATGGTGGCACGCCGCTTTTACGCACACAAATTGCGCACGGCGTACTAATGCAAACCCACTTATACAAACGCTTTGATGTTTTCTGTAAAAGCGTGCAACTGTACAGCAAGAAAAGATGAGTGTGGTTTGGTCATAAAGAAAACCATGCGCGCTCCCAGGCAGACGACTGTTTACAATAAGTTTTGCATCAGAAATTAGGATCGCATTATCTCTCCAGTAAATAGCAAAATTGGCATATGCATGGCCCCAGGTGCAGACGAGGGGGACTTCAGATGGACCCAGTGTAGCGTGATGCTAGTGGAGCTAAATGACCACAAATAAGCAAAGGCCCTGCGCCACTGAGCCTTCACAGCCTCTCACACGCTAATGGATTTAATTTGGCACGGCTCAAGCTGCACTGGTCCCACTCAGGGCCCGGGTCCTAATTAAGACTGCTTGTTTCTCTTGCCGCCTTCTCTCCCTCTCTGCAAAATGTGGGCCTGCATGAGCGATTGTCTTGCGTTGTTTCCTGCATTAGTCATATGTTTTTCATATTTTGTCATTCGTTTCTGAAATGCTGAAATTAGACAATGTCTCGCAGAGTGTAATTTCAATATTTGTGTTTAAATCTGCGTAAAATCTTGACCAGCATGAAATCAAAGGGCATAGCACAGTTTTACTACATTACTGGCCGAAATATTCTATTCATCCGTAATAAATTGAGGTATATAAGGTTTTAATGCTCGTCAACCACCTGCACATTTAAGGCCCAGAATTTAAATCATATAGATATTTTCCCTAGTAAAGTCTTTGTGTTGCTGGTAACGCATTAAATGGTAGAAAGGTAAAAAGTTGAACATTATATAAGCTAAAAAGTGAATAAATAAAGAACCATGTCCAAAAAGTGTATCTGAATTTTATGTCACTAACAAATAAGGCTGTAAGAGTGCCAGGGTGCGCATTGGCCCCCCTTTCTTCCCTCCCTCGACTTAATACGCGACATTATTAGGTCTGACAGCACAGTGGTCGGTCTTGAAGGAGAGGATTTGGTCGATAGATGACAGACAGGAAGGCCAGCAATCATGGGCTCTTTTTTATCAGAATGTACTGTTCGATGCCGTTTATCCCTGATGATAGAAAATTGCTCTGTTGCCAGGACGCTGCCGCCGAAATAGAGGGCAGGAGCAACATTTCCATTTTCCAGTTTGAAAGCCATTGAAATGAATTAGTAAAAAATGAAAAAGAGGAAAAATGAGAAAGAATCCCCTGGTAAACAAAGGGGAGCAAACAAAGATACCATTTTCTTTTGCCTAGAATCCACCCTCCTCATTTCCCCTGCCTCTCTCTCTCTCTCTCTCTCTCTCTCTCTCTCTCTCACCCTACAGTGAGGGCTTTACTTCAACAGTTGCAAATCACATGCTTGGCTTCTAATGTAGTCCAAGGCCCGGGCCTACTTCAAAGACAATCATTTATTTCCCAACCTCCCGGAATAATTAGATGCGCCTTTTCATCCGTCGTGACAGAGGGAAAAAAAAGAAATTAAGACATAGTAGTCGACAACGAGGAGCGTTGAGCAAACTCCTGAAACGTTTAACCATCACAAACTAATGAACAAAAACACTGTCACATTGGGGAGAACGAAATATGGAAAAAATATATATATATAGTTCTATCAGACTGAAGAAAACCCTGGCGTAAAAAGTTTAAATAAT